AGCAACCAGTGAATGCCAGATAAGTGTACTTTTTTCTTCATAGGGGTCTTTTCTAAGGACTAGTGGTTAAAAAAGCGAGTATGAGAGGTTGTTTTGAGTTGCGTCTTTCTGGACTCATGAAACTGCAGAATGACCATCTTAGGTTTTAAGGTCTATCTTATGTATGCTATTATCGTCTGCCAGTATGGGTCCCCATACTGATATTCTGTTTTGGTTCTGACATTCTGTGAGATACTGCTGCCAAGTACTTATTTTTCTTAATGATTTACCTTTCAAGGACTGCAGGATACCACCACAAATGCCATATATCAGTCTCCCCTGGACAGTTCTTTGATGACTGCATAGAAGTCAGAGGATGGACATGCAATCCCCAACAAGTAATTGTGTAAATTACCTCTTAAAAACCTTGGACAACATTTGTAGTTGTGCATTCACACTAGTGTCTATTTTAATCAGTTCTCATTTTCACTGTAAAGTAATAAGGGCACTCAAAATGGTATCTGCATCTATCTCTCTGTCATCCCAAGCTTCTACAGAAGCTAGGTGACCAACAAGCCTTTTTGATAAGGTTTAACCACCACTATGAACTTTCATGCTGTATATTTAACAATAGGTGTAAGTTTTACCATGTACAAGCAACCTCTGAAATTTAAGAGGTATCTTGCAATGGAGAAAAGGCAAAATAAAAGAACAATTATAATAAGAATTTAAGGATTTCCTTTCACCTTAGAATCTCTCAATATTCACATTAATAAAGCTTCAGAACAAATGTATAAGGAAGGAATGCTATTCAGTTTACAGAGGTAGAAACTGATGTACACAATTTGCATAGAATATTTGAAATGTTTTGGTACCTGAATGCTATTTGTTCATGCAAAAGAAGAGATGTATTATACAGTCATTGCTGCATTGTCTCTACCTTGCCCGGGGGGCTGGGGGGTGGAATCAGGATTTCAACTAGCTGAAATGATAGTAAAACTACTTTCTGTCTCAAAACAAAGAAACCTATGGAAAGTCAAATAGGTAAGACTTCCCAGTTTTCTTTACCAGTAATTTAGATTTTGTAGGCCTACTTATGGTGGCATTTTAATAAACAGAAACTAGCTGAATGAACAGTAGATGAAAAGATCCATGTTAGGGGGAATTAAAAATAACATTTGGGTAGATTACAAATATGGTAATAAATAGAATATTGTCTATCTAATAGCATCTCGTTCATTTAACTGAATTTCACAACATAGTCCATTTCTAGGTACTTTTTTTTCCTTAAAAATCATTTCCTGAAAATAGGTGCCATTATTACATTTCTAAATAGCAGTATTTTTCTTTATGCCTACACCTCACATTGCATATACATACCTATCTACCAGCTTCATATAGTGAGTCAGCAGTTACAAGCTATTTAGGCCCAACCCAACAGGCCTTCTGTCCTGAGAACTCCCCATCTCCTTGACTTCAATGGAATGTCTGTATAGGGGGCTTGATGGAGCAGGCCCTTAGCTTTAATCACCTGGCATTGAAATGCCATTGTTATAAAAATAACAATAAATTATTTATAACCACATTTCTCAATTAAAATAAAGTATTAAAAAAAAAAAAAAATCAAAGACCTCCCTCCACAACTGACTGGTGATTCCACAAAAGGCTGTCATGTTCACTTCTCTTCTATTTACATGTAAATGATCAAACCTAAAAATAGACCTCTTGTTGACTGATTCCTATGAAGGGGTTTTTTTTATTGTCTGATTAGCATGTAGCGTGCTTGAAAGTCAATCCCTGCCTGGAACTTGCAAAAGACACATGGAGGATGAGATGCTAGGAGAAATGTATAACTTCTTTATTTTTTATCCTCACTCAAAATTATAGTCTACTCATTTCATGTGGTAAGGGCAGTACCTTAGTAAACAGTGATTCTGTGATTGTGGATTTTTACGCAGAAATGTTAGGCTCCCCTCTATGAAGCTAATAAAAGAACAAAAATACTGAAGACAGCATAGTTGATGGAGTGCATGGAGTAAAGGAAAAGAAAAGTCAGAGTATGAGAACAAGGTCAAAGTTTGGGTGGGACTGTGTACAGTCTAGGAAGAAAAAAAAAATGAGCAGTTAAAATGTCATACAGTACACAAGGACAATCCAGTAAAAGGATACAATGATTCCTTTCATATAGGAAAGGGGTTGTAAGCAGTGGAAATTTTGCTCCGAAATAGCTGCAGTCTTTCAGAGGAAATGCCGCCAGTGTGACAACCTCCTGGCACCTCAAGCTTAAAAAGAATCATCCATGAAAACACTGTACAGTTACAGACTCTCACATTTAAGGGGCATAGCAGAATGGAAGGAAGAACCACTCTACACAGCAATGTCCACCAAGCAAATATGAAAAAAAAATCCATGGTTACCCTGCCAGCATTAATTGCTGCAGATCTATACTCTCACTACACAAACCAGAGTAGGCTAAAGCGCAGGAATATAGGCAATGACAGCAACATTTTTAAGAGACCACCTGGAGAAGCAGCATAAGGTAGCATTGTTCAAAGGACTGGCCTCTGCATGGATGCCTCAAGTTCTCTAAAAACTCATTACAGAGCAAAAAACATCTATATTATTTCCAGAGCCACATTTTTAGACCTTTTACAAAGCCTAGAAAGTCCTTCTTTCCTAAGTTTCATTCTAAATTTTCCCTTTGTTGGGGGGAGGGAGGGGAGGGGAGACAATTCTTTTCAGTAAATTGGAAGTTACTATGGAGAGAATAAGATATTTCTATATTTCCTAGGTTTTTCTGCATTTCCACAGAAACAGAGAAAAACAGCACATCAAATTTAATAAAAGTATGACTTATTAGTAAACATTTTAATTATTTAGTTTAATATTAGTTTTTAAAAGTTGAATATATGTACATTGTCCAGAAATTTAGATGCCCCTGCACGATGTTCAGAATCCATTATAGATAGAAGAGCTATTTTTCTATAAATTAGTTCGGTGATTCTCAACCAGGGTACCAACCACAGCATCCAAGGGTGCTGCACAATCCTTCCAAGGGTGCCATGGCATCCAGCCCTTGAGCCAAGAAGCCATTACTCTTCCTCCTAGCAGGCACCCCAGCATCCTGAAGACAAGCAGTACCCGTGGTTGCTCCCCACCCCCAAGTTCCCAGCAGTGTACTCTGCCACATGCACAGGCAGACAGATGGGGAGGGTTGATACAGGGCTGCACTTTTCAGTGCTGTTCATCCCCACAACCCCCACTCCTCCCATGATCCCAGTGTCAGTGGGAAGGTTTGTGGATGCTCATGGCTCCGGTTGCCAGCATACAATTTGCTGGAAAAGAAGCCACAGAAGTCGGGGGCTGCAGTTGCCACCTCAGGTATGGACCAAAGATGCAGAAGGAGCAGAAGGTGCCTAAAGCAGGGCACAGTAGGGTGAGGTCTTTCACCCTCCACCTATCTGGGACCTACAATCCCAGATTGTAGCTTAGTGGTTCTTCACAGAGATACTGTTAAATTCCAAAATGGAATGAAGGAGCGCATTGAAGCTAAAAACACTGCATTTGCTCTACCCCAACTTGGGAAACATGCTACCCAATTCCCTACGATATATCATTTTGAGATATACTTCATCTCCTCTTCTGTTCTTTTCTTTTCCCCATCCCCTTCAAAAACTACCTTGGAAAAAGCATTTCAGACTTGCTAGATATTGTGAAGTCATTTCTGTAAGGAATACGGTTACAAAACAGGGCAACTAGATGGATAACATCAAAGTAGTTACTTTGTTGTTGTACCTTAAAATATTGCCATATAATTTATAGCTGTCCACAGGCACCTGCTGGTACCCGATTTGAGTCATCTAGAAAGCACTCCCTCTCCATTAAGCCACTATTAAAACTTAATACAATTTTCAAATAAGGAAGCCCAAATTAAGTTAAGTTATCTAATCAGTGCTACTTCCTCCAGGCTTTAAAAAAAAGGTTATGCTATATATATGAAAAACTAACAATGTAATAGTTTTTTTTTTAAATAATACAAAAAGTTCTGAATTTGCTTGATCAACAGAAATGTAATGTAGTTCAATAGGAATGTCCCTATAGACAAGTCTCTTAGAAATATCCCCCAGACAGATCCAACTTTTCATGATAAAGAACAGAGACATCAATCTCTTCTTGCACAAATCCCCTTCACCTTTATATAACCTTTTAAATTAAAAAACTATCAACAGGGACAAAATTCCTTCATTCTATTGCAATGTTAGATCACTTTTCCAAGTTTTAAAATGTCTTGTAAGAGATGCATTTTAAAATATATTTACTTGTAGACCTGATCATTATACCAAACCAAAAACCTATCCGTTTATAGGAACCTTCAGGCAAACTTCTACTGCCCAGATCAGGATTATCAATTTGATCAGTATCAGGATTATCAAGATAAATATTAAAATTAAAATCCTTTGGGGTTTAATGTTAAGGATTTGATCTCTGACTAAAGAACCAGCAACCTCTTATAATGACTGTTAATGTGCATCCACTGGCAGGAAACCAGAATTTAGCTGATTAGATAGTGCACGCTATACTCTGAACTAATTGGCTATTTAAAAAAAAAAGTTGAGACTCATAAATACACTCTCTTTGCAGATACAAGTGGTTCAGCA